GTTTAGCTGCTTCGAAAGGAAGTGGGTGGCGGCATGCCAGACACCACATTGGCTGCAACGGTACGGAGTACCTGCATCACGCTTTTGCGATGTGCACTCCTTGCAAACACGAGAGATGTCTCGGCGCCACTGGCCCTTTGTGAAGCCGTCTTTCCGTTTGCTTTCATTGCATTCCATACACAGCCTTTCATCGAGGTATTTTTTGCGTAGGGAGTCCCAGTCAATTTGTTGTTGTTTCCAGACGTCCAGCAGCAGCTGCCGTCCCAATGGCAAACCAGCCTGCAGAGGCGCCAAAGGAAAAGGACGGTAGATCATAAGCTTTTCCCGGGCACGGCAACGTGTCAGTCCCACGTAGACTGCAATTGGATCGGGGTTAGCTGGAATATCCACAATGGCACCGTGTTCTGCAGTGCAGCCTTGTAGAGCGTGAGTTGTTCCTGCGAAATCGGGCGCAAGTGGGAACTGAGTCCGCGTTACTTTTAGTTTGGGATTTGTGCGGCCCATGTCCAAGTACCACGGCTTGCGTGCTAGTGCGACAGGAAACACATTTTTTTCGTTGATTCCACGGAGCTGCCACTCCGTGCGGGTGTGAAATTGCACAAACACATACGCCGGAGGCTTATTCCAGATGACGTTTTTCTCAGCGGTTTCTTGCGCGTCTGTTGCTGTGGTCCAGCCGCGTACAATCCCATGACAACCGCGCAGGATTTTAAAGTCACCTCGGTATATATGCTCACGCGCTTGCACGGGCATGCCCATGCACAAGCGTAACACGCCACATCGATCGCCGCAGTCGGCATCGCTACGTTGCAGCCATGCTAATTTCTCCTTGGCTAGATTTGGTTTTGCGTGCAATGCTTGCGAGGAAGCCAGGTCCTGTGCAACAGCATAGTACAAACGCTGCCCATGAAGATGGGCCCATTGTTCCGCCCGGATACGATTGACGTGGCACTTCACTACATTGGTACTAAAGATGGCCATTCCTCGAGCTAGTTCATTCGTAAAACGCGGGTCGTCTGGGTTAGTTGCAACGAGGCGCCTACTCGCACGATCTGCCTGGCAAGTCGCGCACTCCTTCTGTATGATCGTCTTGGGTGCAATGCTTTGCGTGTGCAACCGTTCACAGGCCACCTGTCCGCAAATCGGGCGCCCGTGTGACTCCAGCCAACTGCCTGGAACTGTCGTCGGTCGACCATGGAGGAAGGCGTGATTAGATTTGGACAAAGTACCACAGCGTAGTTCCGCTTGGAGTTCTTGTAGCCATTTATCTTGTGTGCGTTCGCACTGCACAAGTTCGGTGACACCTTGCAGGCCACCTTCTTCTGCAGAGGCCCACACCAGTTGTTGGCCCTGTAAAGTTAATGGTAACTTCTTCGAGTGAACGTGGGTGAGAAGTTGCCAAGGAATTTGACCGAGAAAGGTGCCTCGCGGCGGTGGTAACTGCCACATATCGCCTGACAAGATAACGTTGAGGCCTCCGAATGGCGCAACTGGAGTGCTGTTCGGTTTTGCATACTTAGTAGAAAAAAGATCCTGCACAAGTTGTCGACACCGTGCCTCTAAACGGGCGAGCATTTCCGCGCTGACCATACTGATTTCGTCTATCAACAGCCAACGCCAACGGATAGCGTTGCCTGCTAAATCGAGGATGCGTTGCGCATTCACGTTGGAATCATTTCCGTGCCACGCTAAACCAAGGGCCGAATGGATGGTGTCTCCATCCAAAGGTTCGGCGTTGACCGCTTGGAAAGTTACGATTTGGAATTCGCTTCCCTGTTGCCAGCCCAGACGTTCTTCCAACAATTCCTTGCGAAGAAGGTTCAATGCATAGGATTTGCCAGTGCCAGGGCCACCGTGCAAAGCCCATCTGAATGGCTGTGTGTTTGTTTCGGCCGCGCCTCCTCGATCTTGGCCAGACATGGCTTCTGCTTGAATTCGCTCGCACACCTTTTCAAGGAACTCTAGCTGTTCGTTGTTGCACATACGTTTTTGTCGCACATTTGTCAGGAATAGGCTGACCTTTCCGACTATCTCGTGAGCCTCGCTCTGCCATATGCCGGCCACTGGTTCCGACGTGCTGGTGCCAGTGGTTTTGTTATTCTTTCCTTTTGCTTTGGCGGATTTGATGGCTTTTTGGATTTCTTTCGAATCTCGTGTTTCGTATGGGTTGGGCTTTCTCGTTATTGCTGTGCGAGATGTTTGCTGCCAGACTGCATCAGCTTGTGCAACTGCAGCTTTGTAACTGGCCAGAGCTGCGTCATCAAGCTTGGCACCCGTCTTAGTGTCTTTTTGTTTTCCTGTCTGTCGAAACGCTGTTGTCAGAGCTGCGGGCAGAGTTGCTGAGGTTACAAGAAGAGGCTCGTCGACGCCGCTGTCGCCGCTGTCGTCGCTGTTGGCCGTGTCTGCACCCGAAGGTCGGACACGGTACACTGACAAAAAATTGCCGACGTAACGCTTGGTCTCTTCGCAAGGCAAGAGTGTCAGCCATGACTGCAGTGCTTGCATCCACGTTTGGTTCGTTTGCTTTAGTCGACCGGCAAAGGGCACACTTTGAGAAGCGTTCGTATTGTTTAGAGTCCAAGCGCGAAAATAGGTCAGGGTCAGGCGGGCATTTTGTGCAGCTTGACCGACTGTATGTTGTGGGACGGGGGAATTCTCGAAATGCGGACAAATGGGTCGTTTCCGTCGTTGCAGATAACACAGATGCTGTAGATGTTCCGTGCCCGTACCTTCATCCAGTAAAATCCGTTCGTTCGGTGCGGTTATTTTGAGCTTGTAGTGGATGCTTGGCTTCAGGCAGAGACTTTTGTCTGGATCGCATTGTTGCTGGATATATTTCAAGCCCGGTCTAGTTAAAGTTACATCCCAGCTTTTTTCGTCTTCGGTTTCCCACTCTCGTCGTGTCGTGGGGACACATGCCAGGGCAACACGCCAGCTAACAGTGAACTCATAGGGGGAAAGCCACCATACTTCTGACAACTTTGGGCGGTGTCCATAGACCTCGGCCAAGTTTATGTTTCTGAGATGGCGCATTCCTGAAGATTGTCGTCGTGTCCAACGGACACTACGTGTGTTACCCGGAGGCTCAACGTTATCTGAAGTGAGGCGTCGGACGATGTCCACGAAGGCACCGCCTGGAAAACTCTCGAAACCAGTCGTACTAATGCGCTCAGCGCTCACTACAGCGTCGCTGCGGTGCTGCGCTCGTAGATTGCAGCATTCAACCTGACCTCGAACGACGCCTTTCAAGTACGCATCACTGAGAAACCTTGTGGCGTGTCTTTTACCCATATTCTCGACGGATTTGCCTGTTAAGTGTGCCTGTAACTCATCGTGGCCTTTTTGGAACTCTTTAATTTCTGCAAAACCCATGGGTTGATTTTTGGAACAGTAGTCCGCACAATAGCCTGTCTGTGCGTCTTGTGCGCGTTGTGCAGCTAATGCGATTGCTTGCTGGTCTTTTGGTGAGAGTTTGCTGCCGCATCTGTCACAGGCGTAGGGGAGACGGTAAGGTACTTGTACGTCACAATTGGCGCCGCGTAGACCCGCTAGCATTGCTGGTGCGCACCCATTCAGCCATTCGTTGTTACATGGACCATGCAAGGAACCGAGACGGTTCTTGCGTCCAGTGGTTGGCATGCCGTATGTCTGCAATCGACATGGGCACAGCACAGATGCACTGCTGCAAAGCCACTGTGTGCGTGGAAAATCACTCTTGCAAACTCCTGGGTGATCACTTTTCTGGCACCCTGACAATGGCACACGAGCTTGCGCAGATTCACTGTATGGGTGATAATGATGTTGCTTTAGAAGTTGCAGGGCGACAACATCTTCTTCTAGATATGTTTGTTTCCACTTGGTTGCTTCCGTGTCTCTATTTTGTGTTCCAGCACGCTGAAGTTGATACGCAGCACTTGCAGTCATGACAGCATCGTGTTCGTGTTCGGGCCACGAGGCTTCAGCTGCTTCAATTCTGCGTCGGATATTTTCATCGTCTTGACCAGCATACGTGGCATGGCAAACGTGTGTGTGATATTGTTCATAAGCATGACGTAAAGCTTGCATTTTCTCGTGACTCCAACGAAAAATTTCTTCTAATGGGGTGTGGTGATGAAGACATTGCACGAATACTTGCGCGTGGCCGTGCAAGCTACCAGTGCTCTTTTGGGCTTCCAATGTAATGTAGACGGCATCCACACGTCCGAAGATTCCACCACTCGGCTCTGCGTTGCTACCGTGCCTGTCTTGACACGGTTCCCACCCAGCATAGAAGGTGTTACAATCAGGGCACATGGGACAAGATCGAACTCCAAACAAATGTTGTAGCATCAAGTGTGTGAGCACTCGAAAACCATCTACGGCCGCGAGTGGATCCCGCGCCAAAACCTCGCGCCGGTCAGCCCACGACATGGGTAGGGAAAATTTTGCTTCAAAAGGCGTTGCGTTCGGAGAAGTGGCGGACAGCCGCGGGAAATTTATGCCACCAGCTGGGAAATCTTGGGCTAGAGTGGCAGCACGTACTGGATCAGCTTCACAGACTCGAGACATGCGGACAAAAATGAGCTGGTGGGCTTCGTCTGGTGTGAAAGTTACAAAAAGTGGCACGCCATACTTGATACGCATGGCCTGAATCTCGAAACGCATGCGTTTTCGTGCTTCCTGTGTACCTGGTAAGCCCTGGGCGGTGTGCCGTATATTTTTGAGAAGTTTGCGAGCCATTGGCTTAAGACCACGTACATAGCGAAGCTTTGTAACGTCACCCTTTACAGCCCGTGGCTGTCCACTGACATCGATATATGTTGCCTGTAAAGCTGCGAGCAACTGCCTGGCTGCTGCTTCGATGTGGTGTCCAGTTGGCTGCACCCATGTTTGCTCGTCTTCATCATAGAAGGTGCGTGAATACGCATCCGTGGTGCGAGACAAGTTCAAAGAGGAGCGAAACAGCAAGTTCCATGATGTAAAGCCAAAGACCCAGTCGCGACTGACTTGTGCTTCAACTCGACGTGCCATGGCACGAACCCAGGTGCTCAGCACTACTAGTGGTTCATCACCGAGACGCGGTCTAGGCTGTTGACTCCACTGTGGTGGGTCTGGCACTCCGAGACCAAAAGGAAAAACAAAGGGAAAAGCGAGCACGAAATAGTTTGGCTGAAATTGGTCCAAGAGCTTAGTGCCTGTATAGAGTACCACCTGGGGAGGTCCTTCTGGGGGTTTGGTTTGGGTCTCGTGGACAATATTTTCGAAACTTGTGACATGTTGTGCGTTTATATCCTGAAAGCCTGCGCATGTCTTTCCCATGACTACAGCATTGGGTTTCAACATGCAGGCAAATTCGCGACTAATCTGTTCTTCGCTCATTTCCGTATTGACTGCGCTCGCGGCTTTTTGCCGCTGAATGTGACTGAGACTGTCATCGTTCTCAAATAAGGCGATAATTTCCGGTGGGACGTCATTTTCCGGCAACATAGTGGCTCGTTCAGCAACTGCTGTCATGTCGACGTTTTGATATGCAGGGTGATTACGCGCGACCATTGCTGCTATTAGAGCAATCACGACACGTCGCCGGACGACTGCTTGGTGTATAACTTTTTGCTTTGCTTCTACCTGGTTGGATTTTTTGCCGACCTTAATCAAAACGGCGACTCTCTCTCGCAATTCTTCTCCAATATGAGGTAACTTGCACGGTGCAGCAGCAGCAGTGGTCGAATCCAGTTGCTCTAGTTCCGCAAGTAAATCTTCCCATTGGAAAAGTTGTCGCATTCCCTTTCGCACACAAGCGGTGACGGTTCATGAAAGCGTCTTGTGCTAAACTGCGATCGCGCAGATATCGCCACTCAATGCTGTAACACGTGAGTGCTGTCATACACGGGCTTGCGCAGAGAAGTTCCAGAGCGGTGCATTCCTGAACGTACAGCTCCCGAGGTGGGTGCCCTAGAAGCAGATTGTTGGTCAAGGCTTCGGTAGGTTTACATGTCTGAGTATAGAGACTGCGGCGGCATGTGTGACAAATGGGAACGTCACACCAGGCGCACATATGATCCGGGCGACAAGGTCGTGTTCTCGTACACCTCTTATCTTCTGGACACGCCAAAAGAGTGAGAGTGTATCCGGGACAAAGCAGGTGACACTTCCAAGAGTTTTCTTGGAAACGCAAGGCGGCCTTCGTCCCTTCGGCGAGTGGTGCAATATATCGTTGCTCAAAGGTGTTCCAGCCAAGGATCTCTTCCAGTTTCAGCGCTGTTTGTCCTAAGACTAGACATCGCTTCGGGTCGTAGCCTCGCACCCACGTGATTAGCGGGTTTGGGCTACCAGGCACATGTGGAAAACGACGCGCGCAGACAAAACAGACGGCGGCGCAGAGATCTTCCTCACCGATGCTTGCCCGAAATTGTCGTAAACATCGTCGATCTATTGCGCAGTTCGCGATTGGAGCGAGTTGTTGACAACGGTACTGTAGGATTTCTAAGTAGGTGTGATACAATGCTTGGGCAATAGTGAAGTGCGTTACGTGCGGATGTAGGGACAACGGCAGTAGTACACTTTGATGAGTTTGGACAAGGTGCTGCTCTAGAGCATCCTGTTGCGAGCAAGTGAACTCGCAAGCGCGAAAAGCACAATGATAGGCGGGTAAATCGTAGGCTCCTTCCCGTGCTTTGGTTGTGGTCATAAAAGCGGGTAGAGTGGGGCTTGCTGTGAGAAGGTCAGCTGCTCTTCGAATGTCACAGTCGCGCAATGCACGCGGGTCTTCATTGCCATCGTCCGGTAACCTGACCCGCAATGGAAAAATATTCCCAATCTCTGCTTCGTCATCCACATTGGTCTGCGAGATTGGGTTGTTGATCGCAGTCGCTGATTCAGTCGGTGCCATTAGCCTCGGTCCCTTTGCCTCATCCACTTTGTTTTGCGGGGTTAGATTGTTGATCGCAGTTGCTGAGTCCGTAGGCGCCGTTGGCGTAGGTCCCTTTTGCCGAACACGCCGACAGGGTCGGGGGAATGCGGAAGGGCAGGGTGGGGGCACACCGTGGCCGTCTGTTGAGTTTAGTCTTGTCCCTTCTCCCTGATTACAAGTGGTGTAAAATCCACGCCACTGATTTGCCAAGCGTCGGGCGTTATGCATACCTGCATCTGCATATGCCAGCCCTGCTTGCAGTAACGTGTGCAACGTGAGTCCTGTGTTGTCGCGATCGGCCCACACCGCTTGTATGGCTCTTGCATCTGTGTCAGTTACATGCACCTGAACTCCGCGCTGATTACAGAACCGTTGCAAGGTTTGCTTGACTTTGTTGAGTTTAGGTGTGTTGTGTGCGTGCCAGCCCGACTTTATGCTTCGGTCAAGCACTGCCGCGTGCGCATTCCTGAGGCAATTCTCTGGTGCACTGCTGAAGTTCTCCGGCTGGTTGCTGACGTGGTTTGGTGCTGGCTGTTGAAGTTCTCCGGCTGGTGGCTGGTTTGCTGCGCTGTCTTTGTAAGTATGTGAATTCAGGGATACCCCTTTTGAGCTAGCGTTTACGGCATGAGAAAGGGTAACGCTCCTGGGTTCTACTGTTTGGCTGCTGGGTGTTAGCATATCGTAGTAGTAGCTTGTTTCGGACGGCAGCGTAAACTTGTAGAAACACAGCACGTGTGTGATGAGGTCTCCGATGCCATCGCTTGGAATTGTAATGCTTTGGCTTCTATACTGCACGTCTGAGGTTTCTTCTTCAGTGCTGCTATACAAACGCAATTCTACTGCCGGGCGATGGTGCTCTCGAGGATTCAGCGCCTTGAATAGCAAATGCAAAGCGACAGCGCCATAAGAAGACATCGACAAAAAGGGGCCTAAACGACATTTCCTACGCAAGACGGTTTCACTCGCAGTGTCTTGGTACAGGGATGTGCGTACATTTGCACAAACCGTTGCAACTTGTATCGTTGAGGCGTCAGAAGTGAGAGAGGGGTCGCAAAGACCATGCATTACGAGCCCGAGCGCCAGACATTCTACAAGATTGTTGCTGTTGTGATTTGGTGGAACCCATTGTCTTTGCCACCCTTCTTCTTGTAAACGTTGCAACGTTTTAGCATCATGCGGAAAACAGGTTTTGGTTTTATAGTGATGCACTGCAAGCACCAATTGAACTGCAGTTTCTGCTTCTCTGTGCGACATGTCGGATTTGAGGGGTGTGAGAATTTCTTGCGACACACAGGAGGACAGAATATTTTGCGCACAAGCAGCTGAACCCAACAGTGACACGAACAAACCATGTAGCAATTCCCAGTTCGTTTCATATATTGGTACTTCACCATTTGTGTTGGTTTGCTCCCTGTTTTGCGGCCTTAGGCAAACTGACGTAGGTAGCAATGCATCAAAATGGTAACCCATGCCATTTGTCATTGTGTGGCTGTACACCCGCAGTGTTTTGGTTTGGGTGCCTTGCTGGTTTAAAAGAACCTCCACAGTGGTGATTGTGGTTTCTACATTCGAATCAAAACGAGTGTAAACTTCAATTTCGATGCTGCGGCACATCACAACAGTAGCAGCCCCGTGCTGTTCCAGTAGATACTTAACAATTTTCGGGCCGTGTTGCATTGCATCGAGGTATGGCGTAAAGAATTCACTTCCTGCAAGATTGCGGTCCATTGTTTCAGCTAGATGCTGGCGGCACGCGGCACAAATGGCAGCGCGTTGTGGCACAGCGTCAGGTGTGGGCCCCAGCCCCGAAGGCAATAGTTCGTGAGCTGCGAGGGTCAGCAGAAGTGCGTCAATAAGACAATTGTTAGCACCATGAGCTGATGCGGGCTGCGTGCGCCAACCTCGTCGGGCCAACTCTTGCAAACGTTCGGCGTCGGTCACGCACGTAGTAGGTATGTTTTCAGCAACGATGGCTTTGAAACGGGCAACAACATCATTATACGCGTTGCCAACCAATGGAGGAAAAGCCGGACCTGAGAATCGGGGTCGGCGGCAGGGGCGGCAGCCCTTAAATAGATAGAACTGCACCCCCCGACATCATCGATGTGACACAGTGACACAGCAAAGGATCAGGCTTGATGTGACATACCTCCCTTTGATTTTCACAAGAAACCAAATCTCTCCTAATTTTGGAGGTGGAACTGCCCCGTTGGTGTCCTAAAGGACACGACCTTGTTGCCATTCATGTCCATTCGTGTTCACGTCAAAGACTCGCCCCGTCGACCAGTCGACTTGCCCAGCTGCGGCACATCGGTGCAGGTCGATCTTCTGCACGCTGAAGGGCTCAACGCGGCTGTTGGTCTCGGCAAACATCTTTGCCTTGTCCTCCTGCGAGAGCAAGTCCATGCACCTAAAACGAGAGAGCAAGCGTTACAGTAGACGTGGCAGGAGTTGGGTCAGACTTTAGCCTCGCGCTTTCCACGAATCTTCCTGGTTGGCCCATGCGATCCAAATCCGGCTTCCTTCTGTAAGATCTGCTAATTTCTAGTTATTTTGTTTAGTGGAGCCTCTGCATCTCAATTGTTCTGGTTGGGAAAAACTTATTCCTCGTTAGTTGGTATTGTTTTAACTTCCTCTTTTGTCCGTTTAGGCTAGATGTTCAAAAAGGATCAAAAAGGTCACAAAGCCTCCAAAGATTAGACTGAGGGAATCATCACAGGAAGCTCCTACGTTCGGAACGTTGGTTTGCACTTCACAGTCCTCTCCAGTCTGCCCTTCCCCAGTTAGCCCGGCTGCACCTCTTGTGCATTTGCCCACCCTCCTGGCAAGCAGTCCCCCACGAGACCAAACCTCAACCAGAGATCTCAAGGACCACAAAAGGACCACAGGACTCTCCGGCCCACCCTGATGGGAAACGAATTGAAAAACATATGAGAAAAATGGATTGTCTTGACCCCTGGGCTCTCTTTTGCTGCCATGATGCAGAAGGTCTGTGTTGGTGCTTTGCACCAACCCAGTTGTTTGACCCAATGGCAGGGTCTTGTGAAGTCTTCCTTGTGCACTCTGTGTGTCCCCCTGTGTTGACTGGAAAGTGGCACTCTGTGTGTCGCAGCGTGAGTTCACTTTTGCAAATCGCAGAAAGATACCCGGGATCAGGAGACGGCCAGCTCCGACGCAAATCACTCACCTCAGTGATTGGGAGTGAATAACATGTTTGGGACTAGCAGACTGGCTGATCTTTGCAAATACAAGTCCACCTACACAAACACCATTTACATCCTACCTTTCAAGAGACTCTCACAAGTCTCACGTCTCCCAAAATGCCCAAGATCCTCTTCCTGCTTCCAATGGGTCCATGTTTAGAGTCCGAACATCCACTGGTCTTCCCCCGCCTCGCCTCACCGGTCTTCACCGGAGGGTCACCGGATGTCACCGGTCTTCTTCACCAACTGCGGCCACGTCGAAAGGCCGGTCGTCGAAACGGTCTCCCCACGTTCTGCCCACGTGCCCGACCGTTTCTGCACCATCGAATGACCAGCCAGTCTTTATATGATTATAAACAATCACCTACAAATCACCTCCCAAAAGGAAACGTCCGGAGACATCCGGACATGACGTCCGCTGGGGCGCCCGGCGGACGCGAGGCGCTTCGAACCACAGGGCCCCGCGCTCAAGGGCCGGCGGTTGGAACGCCTGGGATTGGAACGCCCACAGCGTCAAACCCAAGCAGATGAGCAAACTATCTGAACGCCATGAGTGAACGTGTTCCAGGCCTTCAAATCCTCGCTCCCTCTCACTCCCTGCGACCATGTTTGTGTCAAATTACTAATGCATACTAATGCTGAACACTTTGGTTGTTGAGGTCCCTCACATCTTTTTGCCGATGCGACTTTGGCCGCTGGCAAACATCGTTCAATCACAACTCTCGGCTTCCGGCCGTCTCATCCGCTGCTCGATATGAACCCTCGGGTCGGGTGCAAAGTAGCAGGGTAGCTCAAGGATGAGAGAGCAGGGCAGCTAAGCTGACAAAATGTTGAGCCCCACAGGCTAATATAGACTCTGGCTAAGGCTAACCAGGTGTCACTCCTTTCCTCTTAGAATCAGTGGTTGACTGTCCTTAGCGATCGATCTTGGGATGTCATCGAAACCCACAGTATAAAGTAGGTCATGTCACTTCTTGATCTTTGAGTACCCCAAGTGGGTTGGATCTTGATGGATGAAGCCAAGTTGAGTCTTCCGTTCTCGCCATACAGGCGGGTGCAAACTCCATGAAACGCGCGTTGGGCACGTTCTGGCAGAACAAGGGGCTCCAGAAAATTATATGAACACATGCTAGGAAGAGTAAACCGAATCCCTTTCGCATCGGCAGTTCCAAGGGATGTGAGACACTGGATGCCAAACCCCAAAGAGTTGGATCTCCCCAGGATTCCAAAGCGGGCACCATCCTGGCATCTTCGAGCGTAGAACATCAGACAAACATGCCAACCCTTCAAGCTGCTGGCTCACGTACAAGTTAGTTGCTTCGCACCACGGGAGGAAAACACAACGAAAACAAAAATACGAACGAACGGACGAACGAACGAACGAACGGACGGACAGACGAACGAACGAACAAACAAACAAACGTTTGTCGGTGTAAACATGTGTAAACCATGGGACATCCTCTCTACCCGAACGGTGGAGACGCGATCAGACTTGGTCGCGGCGAAATGTTTCCCGATGGCGAAGGCGCACTCCGTCGCGGACTCGGACGGGCTAGGGGGTTCTGCGCGGAGTCGAGCGTTTGTCTGAGTGTCCGGACCAGTGTTGAGGTGTGCATCCTGCGATATCTTTGGACATCTGGGCCTTTTCCTGGTCGATGGCGGGACACGGGCCAAGCAATCGGACATCCAGTGACATCCATTGTTCACGACCGATTGTGGAAACTGTTTGTGGGGAACAGTCCGTCTAGAATGATGAACGTGAGTGAGTGGAACGGGGACGGCGTGTTTTTGGCAGATACAAGAAACGGTCTGAGAGAGAGATGATGTACGACTTGTTTTGTGGGGGGTGCGCCGCGCCACACATCTTTCCGTCATTTTCCGTCCCTCTCTGGCAATTGTGGATGGGCTTACAAACCGACACATTTTTTTGCGGTATTTGCAGCACTTTTGATATTTCCTCCGGGCAAGTTGCAAACGCAGGGCACGGGTGGGTTGTGCAGAGATGCTTGCAAACGCAGCTGACACTACGCAGTTGAAGTTGCAGACCGTCTGTCATTCATGAGCAATATAGGGATCTTTTTCTTTCGGGTTGCGTGTCTTGCTGGTGACTTGATTTGCAGTTCTGCGTTCATCACAGGCCATCCTACTCCCGGCGGTTTGAATGTTGCTGACAGGTCTTGACGCTCATGACCTCATGACATGTTTCACACTCATAGCTGACGCAAAGCAAGTTGATTTCAAAACTGGCACTGATTGTACTCTCCAACACGATCTACGTTGTCCTTTGGAGACCAACAGGTGGAGTCTGGCTTGGCCATGGATCAGGGGACACGGAATTTACACTATGTCGGTTGGCTATACACCCATCAGGCTACTTCTAGCTCCAGTTTTTTAGTTGATGAGCTTGGGCGACCGCCAAGAGTCTTCACTCTTTGGGTCCCAGACATCCCACGGCGTGTTAAGATGCATTGGCAGGGGAACGTGATACGAAGAATTTTGGGTCTCCAGAGGTTAAAACTCTTCAAAGATTTAGACAAGTTCCTAAACATCTTATTTAAAAAATGAAATAAGATAGAATACACCCTCCTCTCACTTTAGCTACCCGTCGACCCATCATGGAGAGGAGTGGATCAGGACCTAAGCTGTCGGATCTTCGCTGGACCCGTGCGTTTTTGCCGCCCCAATGATCCCACTCCCCGATCTCAGAGATGGATCCTCCTCGTTCAGCAGCAGCCATAGGATCTGTTTGTCCCCGTGAGCACCGCGTCCTGAGCGGGAGGGGTTCCAGGGACCAGACGCCAGTGGGGTCGGATTCTTGGCAGGGCGGGGCGCTCTCTGAAAATGAGAAAGGATTGCCGCATGCCCTTGTTGCTAGTAGCGATGCCCTTGTTGCTAGTAGCTTCTTGTTCCTAGTAGCAATGCCAGGAGCTACTAGTAGCTTCTAGCTACTAGTAGTAGTGCCGTAATGCCGTTGTTACTGGTAGCATTGGTTGCTAAAGGAATGGCTTTGGACCACATGACACCAGTGAAGAAATTTCCAGTTGTGGGGAAGGCTCTTCTTCAGGATCTAGGCTCTAGGTGAATTTTTTGGGGGTGACATGGCCGCGATAGTTGTGCCGTCGGTAAACTTGCCACACATCAACCACATCGATTATCCGGAAGCCACACAAATTCACATGTGCAACCGTCACAAAGATGATCTTCAACATCCTCGTCAGCTTTCTTGTTCTTGAACAACTTTGCTGGTCTCCACCCAACATCCACCAACCATCCCAAGTGTGTGGACTCTACTCCAACTTGCAATCCTTCACACTTGTTGCTCTTCGGCGGCTCAAACAGACAACTGTATCCCTCCAACTCCAACCTGTACCGCTCCCTCCACTTCGCATGTCCACAACTCTGCCTGCTGCGCTGTGTGTCGGGGTCCAGCCATCTTTGGCTAAGATCTCCACCGCCGCGTTCCTGCAGGCAGCATGCATGGTTCTCCGCCGCATGGGAGGAAGGTTGATGGAAATCATCGCCGCTGTGGGCTTTGGGAATCTATAGTCATGGAATCAGCAAATCAGGGAATCATCCCCAATGGTCAATGTGTTCATCGATGCCCGCATGAGTGTGCCTCCTAAAGAGAGAAGCTCACTTTGGACCTTTTGGCGAAAGGATCTGTCCAGGAAAGCCATGGGGCCCTTTCATTGGCTCCTTCTGGAGAATATGCATGAAAAGGACTGGTACGAGTATCGAGCAGGGCCTCAGGATAGATTCCTGACCAATGTGATACACTGGTTCAGGCACATAGGCTACCTGTATACAGCTGATTTGCTCATCCCAGTCCCACCGGCGTTGGTTCCAACCGTTCCACCGGGTCGTGCACCAATCAGCTCCCAACAGCCCCTCGTCTGCCCAATAGCCCCGGGCACCAGGCCCGCGGAATTCTAAGGTCACTGGGAAGCCGAAGGACGAGGAGACGTACTTGCTCCTCCGCGGGTGGTGCGAGCAAGTACGTAAGAGTCGCGTTGGATGTGTGAAGCATTGTTCATTCTGAAGAAAGAATCTGCACTAAAGTCATGAAGATGAACTGGATCACCCAATGTTATTCAATTTTGATCATTTTCGAACACCAAAACCCTGTTTCTTCTGACTTCACGCACCTCAAGGATTCGAGGACGTTCTTGTGCAAGGGCGGCGGTTGTCGATAGCTCAGGAAGCCGGCACCGCTACAGGCCTCCGCTACAGGACCCGGTCCCAGAGGGTGGAGAAGACACACGGGCGTTGTGTTTTCTTCGTATGGGCTTTGGAGCCTTTGGCTGGGTGAATTATGGCAGGATGGTGATGGCCTTGGGGGCTACGAGAGGCACCCCATGGTTTGTGCCAGGTTGGTCCAGGTGCCTTTGCGACTCCATATGACTCGATCCAGCTCTATCTGGCGCAGCCAGGCGCAGCCTTCCGCCTCGCTCAGAAGGATGGAGGTGAGAGGAGCTGGATGGAGGTGTCAGGCCCACCAGAACCCAGAAAACCTCCCGTCCCGCACGCCAGGCGCTGCATCCCGCACCACGCAGCGATCCCAGCCTCAAGGCGATCGCCGGGCATCAGCCCAGCGCTTTCCGCCTTGCTCCCAGAGGCCACAGCCTTCACCGTGGCCTCCACCGTGAAGATAGGCGGGCGTCGATCGCACCACGGACCACACCGACCGCCTGCTTTTGAAAGAACATGCCATTGTAAAGGAAGATGTTCTCTCAATCTACTCTGCTGGCCTGTTAGGAAAGGGTGCTCATCAAGATTCCGAGCATTCTCTAGTGCCGAGTTTAGGGGACCCATGCGGGCATGGTTGGGGGGGACCCAGGACCCATGTGAGTTTTGCAGGTGCCCATTCCAAATCCCACGACCGAGGAACCCGAAGAGTAGCTCCAATAAGCGAGATGAACATGTCACGCCAAGTCATCCACAAGTTGTACCAGTGTGTTCAGCAAGGGGCGGTATATAACTTCTACTTCTATATATATTATGTTTGTCCTTTAGTTTGAGAAAGCAACTATACTAATGAACAAAGAAGAAACATCCTTTGTGGGAGTGTGTTTCCGAACAAGCGAACAACTGCAGGAGCCGAGCCTCGTTATCCTCCGTCGACTTGCCACCTGCCACCTGAGTGGCTCGCTTTTCGAATTGATGAAGACCCGCCAATGGGCATCGAAATCATCATCTTTCAACCGCAACAAAGACCATTATCAAGTCTTCTGAAATCGGAGAAATCCATAGAAATCCCATGAAATCCCTGAGTTTTCAGGTGGGCGCACGGGGAGAACAAGTGATTGGCGTTGAGGGGAGCCCTCAATCTCCTCCACAACGTGAAAGAGAACTGGTCTCAAGGATTCTGGGACAGCTGGAGGTCCAACAAGGGTTCCATCGTGAAGAGCCTCCCCAAGCGCCTGCACCCCAAGCTCCATATCTTTCAAGAGCTCCTGCCCCAAAGATGGTGCATCCAGTCACGAATCTGTTTCTGGGTGGTGAGACTATGTTAGACTTAGCTTCTTAGCCATTGTTCATTGTTCAGACTTCAAGACAGGTCAAGACACTCTGAACACTGGCCACTGGGACCGGCTCGCACTACTGGCCAGGAGCACCACTGTCTTGGCACAAGCTGTACTGCCATCTGCTGTCTACAATGATACCCTAAAAGGCGTTGCTCAACCTGAGAGTGCCTTGCCAAAGCCTTTTGCCCGAAATGTGTCAGAATGCAAGGAAACAATGGCAAGCTCACTGCAACGTCAGTTCAAAGAAGACTTGGCATGTCTGGCAGTACCAGGACACTCAGTTTTCGCTCCTGCTTGGTCAAGACAGCTTCACCCAGCTAAAAACACCGTCCTCCTCGGTGCTGTAAATCAGGGTCTTCAAGGAGAAGGTCTTGGGATCTCTGTAGAGTTGCAAGACCTGGCCACTTGCAGAGCTCGCAAAGCTCAGTGTACCGATTCCTCAATCGGTGGCATCCCAGTCAACCTCAGGGTAATTCTGTTGGGGATGCATCATGTCATGGATGAGTCATTGTATCGATATTAATATGCAAATATGCTTCACAAGGCATCCTCTCTCTCTCTCTTTCTACTCTCCAACAAAGGAGCCCACAGGAACACTCCAACTCGTGAGTGTTTGGCCACGGGTCGCCCCGGCAACTCCGACGCAGCAAAAGAAACGAAAGAGGTGACAGGAGGCCGTCATGTTTGTTCCACAAAGAGGAACAAAGAGTGATCCAATCCATGGACAAGTGATCTGCTCCTACATCCTCAACCGAGCATAAGTTGCCATAAGCAAACAGAATGAGGCTACGCTGAGGATGGTTGAATCAGTTGAACCAAGAAAGATTGCCAGAACTTATTTCAGCCAGTGGCCTCTATGTGTGTTGGGTATGTCCGTACATGTTGTCGTTGATGTTGGAGTTGATGTCCTGAATTTGCCCTTATGTACGTGTTGATGTTGGAGTTGATGTCCTGAATTTGCCCTTATGTAAGTGTTGATGTTGGAATTGATGTCCTGAATTTGCCCTTATGTAGTGTTGATGTTGGAGTTGATGTTTTGATTCTGCCTTTCCAGAACTCTGGTGTGGGTGCTGTAAGTTGTCATGTTGGACTTGATGTTGTGAATGTTGGGAAGTTGGGCCTTCCATTTGTTTGTAACTTTGGTGCCTTGTGAAATCACAGTTTTGGAATGGTTGGGCGGGATGTAAATTTTTCATTTAGTTTCCATTGGATGATATAAACAGAAAGGCGGGTTGCTATAGTTTGGACACGTGTAAAATTGTTTAAATATGAGTAACTCATGTCGGAATCGTGAGCCATGTTCATAAATAGTTCGATTAAGGTAATGGTGCATTTGGCAGAGACGTGAGAAAAAACTGTTCAGTGGATCAAGGTTGAGAAATAGAGATGAGTCCCTGCGAGTCTGGAAAAACAACCAAGTATAGTATACTTTAAAAACAATCCAGTTCAGGTATTTTGTTAGTTGTATCAAGTCCTGCTATCTAATTATGAAATAATTTTGCCTTGGATTGTTGCTGCTTGCCACACAAACACCATGGACAATACTATTTAGTAGGTGCTGGCAGGAAAAAGTCATCAGCAATCACAGTGATGAATGATAAGTAGTGATGCAGAACGTGATGCTGCTTCTTGCTTGACAGGACTCCATTCAGTTGCACCATAGGTTTCAATCAGGGAATGTACGACCATACACCCTGTGCATCATTTTCCCCTTGGTACATCAGTATGTCATTATCGAGCGGCATTTTACAACAAACACTCACCAATGCAGTCACTTCTTCTAAGACAAGGCATCGTTCCTTGTACCTTTCCTCATAATGCAAACAGTTTCTTATGATATAATGCCATCCGGACAAGTCATGAGTCATAGTCATGACTCATGAGTGACAGTCAAAACTGGGCCCACGTCATTGCATCATGAACCAACATAACAACAACACAACATAACACAAGACCGGTCAACCAACCATGTTCAGCATTGCATTATCACATCACATAGCTCCACAACACCAATCATAACACACCACATCACAACATAGCTTCACAACACCAATCACAACATCAATTATCACTTCACAAAACTCCACAACATCATTCACAACATCAATTAATACATAACATAGCTCCAAAACATCATTCACACCATCAAATACTACATAACATAGCTCCACAACACCATTCACAACATGAGCAACCACATAGTTTATACATAGTTTATTTGTGTACTGCCTTCCTGAACACAGAACGGCCTTTATAGAGGCCAGTGGCTGAAATAAGCCAGAACTGACAAATGATCCACAGAGTAACAATCATCTATCTCAAACTGTGGGGAGCCTCTCAAAACCCTGTAACCCCCCCAGACGGTAAAGGGAGGGATCAAGCCGCGCCGCGCCTTCGAGACGAAGGCAGGCTCTCCAGACATCACTGCATGGTGTAGCGCCTCCCCCCATGGCACTCGACGGCAGATCCGACCGGCCCCGAGACGGAGACCGTTCCTGGCGTCGGTGATTCGTTTGGTGAAGACCCTTGGTCTCAAAGGAATGGAACAAAGCACAATGACACGAAAAATATGGAGTAAAAATAGGCTTGTCGTTCACAACTCAAGGGTATTCAAGGGTTCGTTCTTCTGTGGGTCATCCTGTCACAATCTCAGTGGACATCTTACAGTAGGATGATTTAGCCTTTTAATATGACAACCCTAGACTACGGGTCCAATGTAGAGGTAGTGTTGTCACTCTGGTTTGCCCCCAGACACACATCCCCTAGGCCCGCATCGGCCCAGTTCACACCAAGCTCGATTCTGCTCGTCGAGCATCGCTCGGTCGTCCGCGTTCGCACCGTCGTCCGCACCGTCGCTGCGGTCGCCGCGGTCGCCGCTCGGTGTCCCCACCGACAAGCCGTGAGCGTCCGTCAAGCCCAAAAGGTAGGGATAGTGAGAGACCATGGCACGTACCTCGTGGCGAAGGAACTGTGGGAGTACCGATCTCAATGTCCCAATCACCGCAAAGGTCTGCAACGCTGGCGAAAAAAGGGCATAGAAAATGAGTTGCGCAGCTGATTGGCTGGGAGGCGTGGTAGTACTATCCCCCTGTGTGAACAAGCACTGTGCGATGTGTCTTGCACCCAACCATGCAAATCACTCCCCAACAACTAAATGTGTCATTCGCCCTAACTGCCCCAGCACCTTTATGGTGGTCTCAAACAACTCATTAATTCACATGCTGTCCTAGCGTCTCTACCGGTCTGTCCGCTCAGTCAGGAGGCACCCCTCGATAGTTGCTGGCCTCACAGTAGGCAAAAAGCTCCTTCACAAATAGAGAGCAAACAGGATGAGTGGGCCGACGAAAGTGTCTCGAGTTGGCGCAGGGTGGCAGGATATTGTATTTGGTGGGCTCTTTTTGTCCATCCGACGTTGGAGGCACAGTGCCAAACCCCCAATGCAAAACACTGCCAGCAACCCCTTCCAGTCACCGGCCCAGAGCGGATCTGAGTCCTGGCTCCGCGTCGCTTCGTGCCGCACGTCCTCGCAGCCCTCCGCCCGCGTCCTCCTTGAGCTTGGCCATGTCGGTGTCCAACTTGGGCTGCTTCACTCGGCCCTTCACCTCTGCGCCTCAGTGAAGAGCTGAAGAAAGCACACTCCGCTGTCGACCGGTGCTCCAAAGGGAACATGGGAAGAAAAAAGTGGGCGACTGGTCCGAACTCGTGTCCAATTGAAAAGATGGACAAGGGAGCCTCGTGGGCCTCGAAAGGTACAAAGCTGCCAGGATTCCGACGGATGGATGACCTCCTTTCTCAAAGCCTCCTTGTAGTATGCCCTCCCTGAAGAAATTTGGAAGGTGGATTGGGTTGGTCCTTGATGAAATTCTTCAACCAAAGTCAATGGTGATTCCACTGGTGTCAAGTTCACTTCCACTTTATGGCGTTTTGCCCCTCTCATGCTGACCAGGCGGCGCTGATAGTAGCCCACGTTGCCAGGGATGGAGTGCCTCGGGCTGACACGCCACGCTCACAACCCCCCAGTTCAACCAAGTAGTTCAACCAACACACAAACCGAACTCATGAGAGGTTTTTTTGTCCAGGTCCGTCAGAGTCCAAGCGGCTTGTTCAGGAACCCAAATCTCAATTGGTAGTGGCCAATAGGATCGCCCTAACACTCGGAAGTTCTGCATGAGCAGAATGGTCGAAGTGCTGAAAAGGATTCCTTACTGTGAAATCTTAAGGGTGCGGTGTTGGCTTTTGGATGCTTTTGGTCCGCCCCGCATGGTTCTTGCTGGGAAGGCAATTTGGACCAATTACCAAACCCACCTAGCACCTCGTCTACCTTCGCATAAACACCAGAATAAAGCAAGCAACCGAGTGTTGTTCTGCTTCTAAAACAGATCTGTCAATGTCCACAAAGATATACAAAGACCATGAAACCATGAAAACCTGCCAGCTTCCCTTTCCTATTCAATCCTATTCAAAAGAAAATGACCACGGTGTCGATGGCTTTTCGGACCCACTCAGTGGTTCTCTGGACCCATCCACCACCACCGAGTGCCCCCACGGCGTCTTGGCTTTGGCCGTTCCCCTGGCCGAGCGGTGGAGGGTTCAGCGTAAACCAATCCCTACTCCAAACCCAACTCTCCTCTGGGCGACCTGACTCCCAACCCATGCCGGCACGACGCGCCACGGCTCTGCCCTCGGCTCTGTGCCCGGCTCTGCGCCGTCAACGGCCGCGCCGAGCCGCGCTCCCGAGTGCTGGGGCGAGTGCTGGGGTGCACGTTCGGTAGCCTGTGCGGATGGAAAATGTGGGCATCGGTCAGTGGCCTGTTTGAGGTTTGTCAGCCACTTCCAGCGACAAAATGTTACAATAAAGGTATGCCATCCACTTGTGAACTGGGCTGGACATCCCAGGGTTGTGTGTAGGTTGTTTGACAAATATCGCACATCGCTTCTTGGCAGGCTTACCGCCAGTTCAAGCACCACCCATTTTTCTATCAGCAAAGCTCGAAGCTCCTATTACGGACTACATGTCCATAGATGGTTGTCGAATCACAAAAAGTTATCAGTTATCTACAGAATTCTACAGATCAATACATGTTCCCAGCACTCCATCTAAGTTGGTAGAGATTTGTGGGTCATTGTCATGGTGTCCAACCTTCCCGTCGGCTCTCCAGTCTGCCTTTCCAGCGGCTCTTCCAAACCTGACGGAGGGACGGAGATCTTCCGACCAACCGGGGAGATCCTCTTGGAGAAGGAACGGTTGTAGAATTTCTCTTTTGGTGGCTTTGAGAAGGGATCCAGTCAGCGGCTTCATGCCACATCGAAAACCGATCAAAAACGAAATACCTTTGCCTCAACACACACCGACACACCGAATCCCGTACCCCCTGGAGACCGCACGTAGTGTGGCTGCCATGGCAGGTCACATGGCACCGAAGGCGGCGTTGCAAGCGGCACCGAACGTGGCTGACTGAGTGGGAAAGTGGCTGACTGGTTCAAGCGCGTGCTCCACACTACAACATGACTCGATCTACCTACAGGCTGAAAGGCAAGCACAACATACCAAGATAGCCTGTGCAGTTGTGATTCCACTTCGTCTGACAAATCACATATGGCCGTTGTTCCACGCTCCAACGTTTTGCTGCTGTGACTGTACATTCCTCACATGCCTTCATGAAAGAATGTATGCTGATCTGGATCTGCGTTAAGCACGTATGACCTTTGCGCAGGTTGCAAAAGCTTCCACACTCAAGAAAACTCCTCAGCTGCCCGTGCCGGTTGGGTTTGTTGGACCCCATCCGCTACTGAGCCCAGTACAAGTAAACGCATGGGGCCTGCCCACTCCTCAAAATGTTTCAACACTAGTTAGGCGAAGGCTTGCCAGTTTGCTGCGACACAGGTAGCACCAGCACTTGTTGGCCCCCCACCTATTTCTCCTCCAAACGAGGAGACCTCCGTGGACCCCGTCCGTGCTCTCCTGGCTCCATGAGACTCGGGGCTCGGTCCGGATCAGCTCCCGGCAAACCCGACAGCGCGTCTCGCGCGACCTGACGAGCAACAAGAGGCCGGCGAAACAGCAGCACTCTGGGCCGGAGGAGGAGGAGAAACACGGCGAAGGCGGGCCAAGGCGGGCGACACAGTTGTGGGGGGACCCAGTGGGCCCCCAGTCGGCTCCACATTGTTGATGGCCCACCCACCGTCGTGGGCTGTTGAGTGGTCGTGGAGTGACGACCGATCGCATGGTTTTGGGGGCCATGCCATGGTGGTCCTATGGCCATACCCGTATCCTTCCGGTCTCATTCTCTGATTTCATGAATCATAGGGGAAAGAGACTGCTCCAGAGATGCTCCAGAGACACAAATAAAAGAGCCTGCACAAATTGTTCTATGCAACTCATGGAAGCAGTTGGAGATCTGCAGACCTGTTTTTGTAGGCTTGAAGCACTGATCGGTGAAATCGTTGTCTCGGGCTTTGAGTGCTTGGACTCATACCAGAATTTAGGAAAGGAGGCATGGGCAGAACTATCCAATCTGGGCCGGGCAAGCCACTCACTGTTCCAGTAACAAGAGGGTGCTCCGGTTGGCAAAGGGATGCATGGTCCCAATCCGATTCACGCCCACCCATGACTGAGCACTCGTTGTTCAAGCTTGTAATCTTCCCAGACTTCTGCGTCCACCATGCCAGACACTCCAAATGAACCAACAACCAAGCACCCTGGCTTTTGGTAGCACTCCTCGTGCATCCACAGAGCATCCACCTGCAGTGGCTGAAACAAACCTCTGCGGGTGGAGATTCTCGATTTCCTGACAATCAGTTGACCCTGGACCCTGGTTTTTGCTGTGGAAAGGAGTGAGTTCACGACCTTTTTTCGTGGCCATCTGCTTGCTGTTACCCCCAATGATGCCATTCCAAATGTTCAGCCCAGCCGAGAGACCTCCACCAAAATGATCCTCGGAGGGAAATTAGACAACCAACCATCCTTTCAGAAAATAGCCTTTTGTTTACCCTTGAGCCAAAGCGTATACCAACGCGTCTGGTTGGACTCTTATGTAGAGGTGAAAATTTCAACACCCCTCCTTCAACACTAGGGTAGTTTAACTACACTTGTGGTGATTCCAAAGTCTTTGCACCTAGAGCTTTTCCAGCTCTGAATTCTTGACACAATGTTTTCATGCGTCGTTCACACGTCTCTTTGTTTACAGGCTTTGTACACAAATCAGCTGTGCTGTGCTTTGTTCCAATCGCTACGATCTTCAAGTCATTCGATGCCACTCTTTCTTGTAGCCATAGGTATCTCGTCTGTACATGTCGAAGTTTACCTAAACCTCTTCTGCTTGCTGTTCCTCTGGCTGCCGATGAATCGCTATGAATTACCAGTTCGCATTCATCTCCCCAATCCTGCTTTAGAGCCTTCACGCTTAGTCCTATAGCCGAAGCTCTGACAAGCGCATAGTATTCACTCTCTCCTGCACTGAGTGATATAGTGCCCTGAAGATTTGATCCATGTTTGATACAACGACGACCAATGGACACTGTATATCCAGTCGTACTTCTTCTTGTGACAAGACATCCAGCATGGTCACTGTCGCAATGTATCTTGATGATTCTTGTCTCACGTTGTGGGTAGAACACGTTCACTACTCTTGGTTTCCCCACAAGATACCTTCCTAATCTCTTCAGGTCTTTCATGTCTGCTTCATTTGGCGATTTCATCTTTCTCGTCAACGACTTCACCGCTTCACTTAGGTCAGCTCGATCCTGTGCAAGAAATTGCGCTCTCATCACCAGGCTTCTGAAGAAAGTTGTTTGTTCTGCCGCTAATGGTGGCAGTCCCATCGCCGCAAGAACATCTGAACTTTTCTTCTTTTCTGCTGGCGTAGCAACCGCTTTCGATTTTTTGCAGGTTTAACTGTCTTATGATCATTTCAGCGTGTCTCGGGTCAGCTTCATACATTACGGCGCCCGTTTTCCGGTCATAACTGACTATCCTGTTCAGAATTGTAAGGTGCTCATTGGCTTCTTCTCCGATTGCACCGTCACAACGGTATTCATATCTTTCGCTCAATACCTTCTGCATGAATGTTTGATCCTCTGCGTCTCCAAGCACTAAGAAATCATCCCCATGAACTAGGAGTTTGATATCTCGGTCTTTGTGCCTGAACACTGAAGTCCATGCGCTTCCCTGGATGAAGTTGTTGTTCTTCAAGTGGCTGCTATAGTCATCTTGCCAGACATGAGCAGCGTTTTGAGTTTGGTGGCAATGTCACGTATATCTGTCGCTTTGCCACACCGTAAAAGTGTGCACGCGAGATATCGCACAATGCCAGTTGCAGTGCTTTTCCGCTTCTACTTTTCTTTCTGGTAGCAAGGTCGCTGCAAAGTAACTTTGCTGCCTCCAGAGGTGGCATGTTCGAAAACAACATATGCCCTGGAAGTGCGCCATGTTGCTTCTTGATCCCTCTCGCCACTACGCGTGAGCGGTAGTTTGGATGTTCTCGATCCCCTTTGTTTCGGTCTATCCATTTTAGAGTGATTGGAGTTTTTCCGGTAACACTCCAACACTCATCCAATGGCCGCTTCTCGTAGATCTTAGCTTTGTGCACCCAAGCTAATTCTTCCTCACGCGCTTTCAGCACTCCTTCTGTGGAAAGTTGTACACCAGTAACATCGTCGTAGAATATCTGGTCTTCTTCTCCTGTCTTTCCTACTTTCTTCTCTGGGCTTGTTGGTAGAAACTCCTCTTCGTAGTCTTCCAGGCGCGTGTCTTCATCTGGGCTTGGTCCTGCTTCTAGCGAGTGAGTTTCTCTGTATTCACCATCTTCTTGCGTCTGCCGTTTGATTCCTTTGACAATGGCCTTTACTAGTTCCGGAGGGTAAATTCGAGCCATTTTTGCTCTGCCGTTCACAAGCGCCAACCTTTTCCTGGAATCGCGTTGCTACAGACTCCTTCCAGTATCTCTGCCAGTACTGGGGAATTGGTCAGCCATTTGGTCTGCTTGTTCACGAAGGATTTTCCTGTTGCGACACTAGATACCATTTTCCACCGACACATCGGTCCTTCTATGGTACACACACCATCCATGTCGGCCAACTTCTCTATGCATTTTTCTTTCCAACTGCTGGCCGTCTTCGGGTGTTCATGTAAGAAATATCGGCCTCTTCAGATCCGTCTCTCGTAAAACTCGCACGCCGTCTCAAGCATTTGTTTTCCATCTTCGAGGCGTTGCTGTACCACTTCAGGGTCTACCTTTCCCTTATTGAGATTCTGTAGTGGTGAGAACGGACGACACGGTGGAGACCCAGTCAGTAGATATGGGTCTTCTTCATCAACAACCTTTTCGAGTTCCTTCACCTGAGTCTTGTCCAACAGGTTCCAACCGGTTTCAATTTCAAGGTCGATTGCATAGCCTGGGAGTAATCCGTAGGCTTTGCATTTGTCTGTGAATCTCGGAGGCGAAAACACCTCTGTGACGTCATGGGCTCCTAACGATTTCACATCTGCGATCAACTCCTCGTCAACTTCTGCTACAGTACTCAAGTGAAACAATGATTGAACGTCTCTGGGAACTGCGGGCGACCAAAATTGATCATAGCTAAGGATCGAACCAGGCGCTGCTGAACCTGATGCTGCCCCTCCTGCTGAAGCAGCTGAAGGTGACCGAAGGTCCTACATCTCCAATCTCGTCATGGTACAGGTCATCCAACGAACTTCTAGCTCGCTTCTCTGTCTGCGCGATGTTCGCTTTCTTTGGGCTTCCTCCTCCTTCTTTGCTCTGACTCCTTTTGGGGCTTTCTTCTTCCGGCTGTCCAAGTGCAACCGAAGCTCTCATGTCGCTCTCAGTTGGATCTGGCAATCCTGTGATCTCAGGCTTGCTTTTCTTCTCCATTCCTTGCTCTTGCCTTCTTTCCACATCAGCCAGCCTCTTCTTACCTTCTTCTGTCTTTTCGAGGCGATGTCCAACCCTCATTCTGCGTGCTGCATTGTGCGTCACTGCTGGCAATCCAATCATCAATGCTTCACAACCTCTACACCCTGGAGCGTAGTCCATCACGCCGTCTTCGAGCTCCAAGTCCTTCTTCCGAACATAGAGCTGTCTCGGTCCTCCATCTCGTGTACTGGGAGTCAATCGGCGCGTTGTCTCCGTAAGTTTGATGCGCAACCTGTGTTCCACACCTTCTTCACTTCTTGGACGGAGTTTCCATGGGGCTCCTTTCAAGTCCTTCAACTCTGAACGATCGTGTTTCCTTTGATCACACCTTGGGTTGCCATCACCAGGACGTCTGCATTGCGTCCATGTGTTCCAACGTAGTGGCCGCTCAGAACTCGTCGGCCCAAATCGCCTCTTTCTCTCTATCTCGCTGTCTTTCGACTTGTATGCGTCCAACGGTCTGAAGTAGATCCTCTCTCCGAAAGTCGCCATTGGTCGATTCCACTTTCGACCTGTTAATCTTTGATATGGAGTTCTTCCATCATCCTGGATTGCAAACCTTCCCAAACAGAACGACGCATGTCTGCTTAGCCAGCTCAGCTCAACAAAGGATGAGTATCCTCCAACTTGTCGAGGTTCTCCTCGAGCTCACTGAGCAACGCTCGTGCTTCCGCTTTTCGTCTCGGACTGCTACTTCCACCGATCCGTTTGCACTGTGGTCGCCTGTCGGCGATTCCTGCATGATGATCTCCACATCTTTTGCTTGTGCCTTCACTTCGTTCTTTAAGGCAAGAATGGCCGGTTCATTGTCACTCTTCAATATGAGCCTTTTGTAGCCGGTTTCGTTCAGACAAGCCAAAATGAAATTTACGCTGAACGTGTCTGGCCCTGTCGGGATAGTGCTTGCCCAAAGCATTTTCGACCTGTTGACTTTCACCTGGATGTTTGCGTTCTCCCCGTCTTTGTCCCCAAAGAAAAAGTAGTCTATTGAGACGATTGGCAGTTCGCTCTCTTCGTCTCGTGAAAACTGTCGAGCGCTTTGCGTATGTAGCCCTCGCTCTCACGCAATGTCCACACCACGATCGATGCACCGCATGTGCAGTTGCTTGGCGCTCCATTAATTCCTGTTCAGTTGGCTTTGTCACGTTTCTTGCTACCTTTGGTTTCTGGCTTTCTGTCGGCTCTGCAGTCCCACTTCGCCGGTGGTTTTCATCTCTAACGGGCTTACAGCTTGGCCTGCCGGGAGTTTCCCGACATGTGGCCTTTCATCTCTTCCGTCATTCCACGGTCAACCCAATAGTCAAACACGTAAACTCCCCTTTCGACTCTTAGCTTTGTAACACCACAGTCTTCTTCTTTGAGGATCTTTTGGATTGACTCTCGAATTCTTCTAGCTGCCCTACTATTCGAAGGAACAATGAAACCACCATCTGAATCCAAAGTAACAATGTTCTTCTTACAAACCTCACTTCCGCTTGCCAAGATTCGATGTACATCTGTCACTCTTGCGTTCATAGTCTTGTTGGTGTAGTTACGTCGCTGCCATAGAGTCGTTCCGTGGTCTTCAAGTAGTTCACCTGAGGCCGTTTTGTATTGAGTGATTTGCGCTTCCCCGAAGACAAGGTGTTCAAACTCATCTCGGGGTACTGTTGAGACAGCTGCACCAGTGTCAAAATTCACAATTAGGTGTTCATACTTACCTTTCGACTCACTTCCATTCGATTCGAGCGAAAGCAAGTCTCGGTATTCTCTTTTCCTCCATGGTGCATTTGGATCGTATGTACCGCGGGGCGTCCTGTCTTCGACACTGCGGATCTCCTCGGTGAAACTCTTCTCCTACTTCTTTTCTTCTTCAACTCTTCAACTTCCACTTCAACTTCTTCCCACGCGTAAGGATTCTTATGCGTGCTCCTCTTCAAACTTCTCCGACGCTCCTTTCCTGATCTCCTCCTCTTTGTCTTCCATCTCTGCGTTGATCTTTCCTTCCTTCTCGAGCTCTTCCTGGATGGTCTCGTCCGTGATCTTGAAGTAGAACTCCCCGGTCTTCTCCTCAAGCTTCTTCACAAACTTCTCCAACTTCACCAACTCCTTCTCTTCTTCACTGTGTAGGAGTTTGCACTTTGCACAAAACCTGCAGCTTCCATGAATGAAGAATCGGCAATGCGTTCCCTTCAACTTCTCGATCACCTTCTGGTCGTGTGAGAATGCGCAAAAGATTCCTCAGCTGCACTCGCCGGTTCATCCGAGTGCTCTGCATGGTTCACGTGCACCTCTTCTTCCTCCGTGCACCTGTCATCTTCCTGACTCTCTTCTTGAAGATGTCGGCCTTCTTCTTTTCCATCACTCTCTTCTCTTCTTCCTTTGGCTCTTGTCGAAAGCTTTCCAACTCTTTCTTACTCAGTGGCTTCCTCACAATCTTCTCCTGGAAATCAGAGGTCTTCTTTCCTCCTTTCTGCACTTTCATTCCTTCTTCTCCTTCGACAATCATGTCAGTCTCCATTGTACTCACCAAGTTCTCAGGTTCTGCCTTTTGGTAGTCGTCCTGACTCCTCTTTCCTGCACGGTGTTCAGCGATCCATTCCTCCTCAAAGTCGCTGTCATTCTTCGGCTCTCTCTGCCATGCTCTTCTTTCGATGCAGGGTTGCTCGTCTCCTGCTTTTCTCTTGCGCCCATGCACGGTGATGCTTCACACCTGCTTCAATTGCCTTGTTTGTTTTCCTCGGTCAACGTATCAGGGATTTCTTCCTTGTCTCCTTGTCCTGGTTGCTGACATAGTCTTTGAGGTACTTCAAACGTTCTTCAACTTCTTTCAGCATTTTCTCATACCTCCGAACTTCTTCTTCATCTTCTTCCTCCTCAATGTACTGCGCCAATCTTCTCTTTTCCAATGCCAAATTCCCAATCTCTATGGATTCCACGTTCCTATGCATCAGCATTGACGTCGTAGGTGTCACGAGTCGTCCTGTATTTGGCAATCTTGTCTTTGGTTCCTGCTTCTCGTCTTCTTCAAGCTTTGAATTGGGGTCCGTTTCGGGAGCGTTTTGGGGCTCCGTTTTGGGATCGCTAATTATCCGTGGATCTTCTGGCATTTTCTCCAACTCCTCATCCACTGCAAGTTCATCTCGTACGTTTGAGAGGAATTGCCAAGCTTCAGCCAAAACCTTGACCATGTCATCCTTGCAGTCATCCTCCACGTTGCGCACTTCGTTCATGTAGGCTTCGAAGTATTCGTCTCCTTCTTCTTCATCAGCGTCACCTTCGTATCCTACATCTGGCTCTTCATTTTCCTCAGGGTTTTCTTCGGCCTTTTCGACATCCTCTTCTTCTTCCGTCTCTTCCTCATAGCGTTCTTCTTCCTCCTTTTCTTCTTCGCTCACACTCGTCATCTCGTCATCTTCGAGCTCCTCATCGATGCTGTAGACCTTCTCGTCTGTTCTCGGGATCTTCGTTCTGCCTGTTGCGAACTCCTTGGCTGCCCTCGTGAGCTTCTTGTTCCTGTCGTCGCAGCTGCTGCATGCTTCATTCATCCCCTCTGCGCGCATAACATCTGCTGCCATCTGGATTGCAACACTTCCTCGAAATCCATGATTTGCCTCAAGGCTAGCTGCCAACCTCTGACGGTACCTGGTGGTCGGGTAGTCATGCCAGGTCATTGGATTTCCTTCTCGAAGCAACCTTCTGTACCTCCTTCTTGCAAGCTTCCGGGTCATCTCACTCACTCCTACTCTGGGCACCTCACGTTCGCTATCCTCCGCCATGAGCATCGACGGTTCTAGGAAACCTAGGGTCTTTTCTGCTTCGGGTTCATTGTTCCGGTTGTCTTCGACGCTGTTCATGTTCTTTCCTTTTCCTTTGCTTTGCTTTCCTTTTGATTTGCCTTTTCCCTTGGATCTACAGTCTCTCTGGTAATGTCCCGGCTTGCCGCAGCTGAAACAGACCGCGGACGCCGGATTTGAACCAGATTGGCTAGGGTTTGATGATCCTTTTCCACCTTTCTGGTCACAATACCCTTTGCCTTTACCTTTGCCACCTTTTCCTTTACCGCTACCTTTCTTTCCTTTCGCTTTGGACTTTCCTTTATTCTTTCCTTTGGTGAAAACTCCGATTTCCATCGCATCTGGATCCTTCAAACTGCTCTTGCCGAGTGACTCAATTTTCAACTTCACGCCAACTCTCGTCTCCAGGTACGTCGCCAACTCGGAGTGCATGTCGTCGAAATCCAGGAACCTTTGGCGATTCAATTGGAGATGGCGTTCAATCTCCGCTGGACACATTGCTTCTAGTATGGACATCTTTATATCATCTTGTAATGTTTGTCTTGACCCATCGGGCCCTTTCCGTGATTCGTATCGGTTCACGAGTTCCATCCATCCTTCAACCCTTTCACTTAACTCTTCAAGTTTGCTCTTTCCAGGGTTCAGGATGTGTCATAGTAGTGATGATTTCTTTGCACCGGTTGCGGGGTCAAATCTCCTGTTGAGTCTCCTCCAACCTTCAAACCGTTACCTTTGGGAGTGTTCCTGATGATCATGAATGCTTCTCCTTCCAGTAGGTTTTGTAACACCAAGTACAGTTGTGATCCTTTGTCTCCTAACCCCTCTATGTCTTCGGACGTGCCCGGACCGAAGTCGGTCCGAACTCGATCCATGTCTATGGGTCTGTCTTCTTCTTCTGACCAACATAGAACTTTCTCCAACTCCGGAAACACCGACAAAACAAACGACTCTAGCTTGATCTTCCAACGCAAGAAACTCTCATCTTCTTTCCCAGCAAATTTCTCTGGCTTCCCAATACCACGGTTGTCAATCAATGTCATCTTCTTGTCTCCTTTCTTCAAGGCTTCTGCTACTTGGGTTTGGGTGTTTGCTAGCGTTTGCAATACGTTAGCCAAGTTTCCTGGGCTAGACTCCATCGTCCCGATCCTTGCTGCCAAGTCTTGCTCACGTTGCCGGCTCTGCTGCAACTCGTTACTCATCTGCTGCATTTGCTGCTGGAGCTGTTGTACCTGCGCCTCTAACGCCATTGGTTCACTTCCCAAGGATCCCTTCTACCGAGCCGAAGCTCCGCTACCACTTTCAGAAAATATGCTCAGCAAACACCTTTTGTTTACCCTTGAGCCAAAACGTATACCAACGCGTCTGGTTGGACTCTTATGTAGAGGTGAAAATTTCAACACCATCACATTGATGACATCAAAAGCATACCCTCCTGTCTTGGAAGGCTCGCTCAGTCTCCTTTAAGCTTGCGATTCGCAAGGCTTCCCCTTTCAAACTCCTTTGCGCCCTGCCGTTGCACCGCTCTGCCTGCACTCGCCGTGAGGTGCTCGAAAACTCATTGCCGCACTGCCCGCAGAGCGCTTTGGCTCCAGCGGCACGTCCCTGGAAGCGACCAGATATGTTGAGGAACAGATACTTGTTACTAGTAGTAACAAGTGCATCGCTACTAGTAACAAGTGCTTTACTAGTAGCAACAAGAAGCTAGTAGTAACTAGTAGCGATGGCCTCCACCCTTGTAGCTTCTTGCTACTGGTACCAAAACCGAAGAGTCATTTCATCATTCCCAACAAATTGCACCACTCTGTTTTTTGGGGTAGGCATTTTCTGGAAAGGTTTTATCGCCCCCTGGCAGCAGCCTTCTCGGCAGTGCAGCTAAGCTACACTAAACTCGGATCTTGTGCTTGAGGGACCTTAAGAAAAGTATTCCGCAAAAGGGGATCATCATCTTAGGGAAAAGACCGGGTGCATTTTAATGTGCGGGAAGTTTTCATCAGTTGATTAATTGTACACTGTAAACACAAGATTTTATCTTGAAAGGTGGGTTGAAGCTTTGTTCTAACATGTAAACTTAAAAATGTGTAAAGTGTGTATACATACTATACATACAAGCAGAATCATGCGAAGCCATGTGTTTAAACTACCAAGCTGTACGCTGCCTCAACCCATATTGTTGCGCCTTCCGGAATCGATCAGCACACCTTCGGTGAACGTGTGTCTCTTCTTCCATGATGAGGCGCTCATCATGCTCACTGATCATCTGCTTGCAAACGACGCAAGGCTTGGAGTGGCACTTGGAGTGGCACTTTTTGTGGTAGAGCGCCCCGTTGAAGATCACCGGAACTCCTCTCACTTGCTTTCCACAAGCCACGCAGACTTTGCTGGCCTCTTCCTCCCGCTTCTTTGCCAGTGCGCTTAATTGCTCATCCACCCGCCTGAAGTCAGGGTCGAATGAACGTGAGGTGGCTGGTAAACCAAATACGCCAAACACGCTTTTTGAGCACGCGGAACATGGTTAAAGAGCGGCCCTATTGAATCTTAGATAAGATTAGAAACTACAGCCACTCAGCCACTCCTCTCCTTTTCTCCTTCGAAAGACCTCCATGTGGCGCCTGCGATGTGCTTGGAACAGTGGCTCCACGCATGCATGGCACAGGAGATCACCCTCCCTCAGAGTCTTCACCTTCGCCTTCACGACGATGAGGTCCATGATGGGTTCCAAGGCTGGCCGGTTGAAGTCGTTGTATTCCTCGGTTGATATGTTCACTGAAAGGCCCATATTTTCGTGGATGGGTGACAACGGATTATCCACTGGTTCATGGATCATCCTTTCGTGTGAAACTCACATTGTGAGGAAGAGTTTTGTCGGATTTCAGCCCCCAACTCTTTTGGGAGACAGTGCTTCTCGTGGGCAAGCCTCGGGGGTCAACAAGGAGGCCGCAAGTGCATGATAGGAACAAAGGTAAATATCATGTTGGATACAGCAATGTTCTTTTCTCTAGCCCCTGGAGGCATGGCAGCGCAGCGGCGCTTCCTCTTTTTTTGCTGCCCCCGGCTTTCCATTGGCAAAACTGGAGATTTGGGTACACCCAAAGCATCTTAGGTACCTGCATTCTGCTGTTGATCCATGTTTCAACACCTTTGGGTCTCCCTCTTCAACAGCCGATACCTAGTAGTTTAGCCCCATCCACCTTCTACCTCGGTGGCCAAAAAAACATTCCGTCCAACCGGAACCACGTGATGGCACAAAACCCATGCTCGAAAGAACTGCAGGCGAAAGAACTAACCCATTCAGTTCTTCCCCGTCAGCTGACATTCATCCCAACCTTCACTGCAACAACTTGGTTCATTTCCGCTAGCCTATCTAAGCCAGTTCCATCTTTAAACCCATCCAAGTCTCCATGAAGTTTCCGCTCTTCGGGGCGCCGCACAGCTTGCAGTACATGCCAAAGGCCTGTGCGATGCAGCGCTGGTGGCAGCGCTTGGTCATGCCATTCCTGGCAGAGTTTCTTGCTTTTTCAAACAAATCGAGCGCTTCGTCCGTGTTCCAGTGGTAGCTCAGGTTCTCATGGTTTGGTGGAGGTTTTCTTGGTTTCAAAGCAGGGCAGGAGTGACTGTTCGTAGGTCAGCCCATCTGGCATAAGCATGTCTGGCGGCCCTAAGTTACTAATCGTCTCTGCACAGAATGATGAATTACGGTAAATCTACAATGCTGTTGCGGCTGATCGATCGATGTTGGAACCCTTCCACTGGAATCTTGCCCCTTTCAAATTTTGGTTCAAATGTTGGAGGCCATTGCTATTGGGTTGGACACAATGATAGATCATCCTCACTCTAGCATCGCTCTCTCCTTCCCCCATCGGCCCATCCCCATCTGTTCATCGCTTCCTGGTGAAGCGAGTGCAGAGGTTCTCTCCCGACTCTTCTAGGCGCTCTCCACACTGCGGGCACACATCGCATTCGGGATGACAGTACGCGTTCTCCATCTCCACACCCTGCTCATCGAGGCCACGGTACTTCCGCATCCCATCGCCCAACCTTGGAGGGGGCGATGGTACGTCACCCTTATAAATCCTCTTGATGGAAGGGCCTCTCAAAGAGTTTGATCTTGAGCTGGACATCTCCAACATACAAATGATAATGATACATGAAACCGGTGACTCTGGCTCGGCCTATAGGGCCAACATATCTTGCTGCCGCCCATCTTGTACAAACCCCCACAATATCAGCAGGCTGGTTACACTTCTCTACATCTCACAGTTTATCAAAACTTGTGGATCCCACCTCCAAAACCAGAGAAACAGTTCAATTCAGAATTGTTTGTGTTCAACTGGTGAAAAACACCCACCCCATTGAGTGGGAACCATGAACTCTTGAAACTTCTCTCGTGTCCACCCTTCCAGCCCCACAAAACCACATAACCAGGCTTGCCACAAACTAAGTGAGCCACCCCCACTATACAATCAACATCCAGTTCTGATCACCCATCCAATCACCCAGCGGACCCGCCAAGCCGCTGGATGCCGCCGCAGCCCACGCACATCCGCGGCCGCACGATGTCCAACAGGGCGTCGCCCGCGACGAAGTCCGCCACCGTCAGCCGCCCACGGAACGCCCGGTGGAGACCGTCCTCGGTCGGAAGGTCAGAGATGTGCGGCATAAAACGTGTTTGCGTGGTGTCTGCTCTTTGCTGCGGCATCGCAAAGAGGCCAGCGTTGGCGGCAGCTGCCTTGCTTTTTTGGAGGAATTTGGCTTGCAATGCCCCAAGCAGAGCCATGGGAGACAAAGGGGGGACAAACGGAGGAGACAAAGCAGAATCCTCCCAGCAAGAGCCAAGGGAGACAAAGCAGAATTGTCTCAGCCTTTTGTCTTCCTTGTCTTTCATGGCTCTTCATGCTGGGCTAGCATGCCCTTTGTCCCCATGACTTTTCTTGGATGCTGGGCCGGCGACAAAAATCATCTTGGCCCAGGATCGTTTCTATGCAAGAGTTGAGAACCCTTCATGGCAAAGCTGTTTGAGAAACCACAACTGGGGCACAGGTCCGTCTTTTACCCACGCCCTCATACTTCTGGATCCTCAACTACGGGAACCCAACGCTTGGGCAGCCAATTCGCTTCAGGGCTTTACGCATCCAATCCGAGCATCCAGTTCTGCGCTCGCTTTCTCCGTCAAGGTCTCCTTGGGGGAGAAGGCCATCACGCTCATCACGCCACTGAAGAGGTGCAACCCGTGGGCAACACCCACAAAGCGGTGCCGATGATCCTGCCATGGAGGCTGAAAGGATTGGCTGAGCGTTGACTGCATTGCACGAAGCGATACCATTGGCCGAATTGTTTCACTGTTTGAACAAATGGGAACAAATCCGTTGCACCGTGGTTTGTGGGGGTAGATGTTGCAACTGAGGTGAGCGAATTGTACCTCTGAGTCATCCAAAATGAAAGACTACAAGCGAAAAAGCACCTGAAAAATCAAACACTGGCAATTAACTACTCCGAAACGCATCCCAAATTCAAAAAGAGACCTCACATCCAAGATCACAAAGCCACAATAAGTTCGATTCACCCAAAAAGGAGGGTTAAATAGAACATGATGAATGCAGTATGCACATCCGAGGATCGAAGATGTTCCGCCTGTGCCCACGGCTGGCTTCTCCGTCGTCGACCACAAGGCTGAGCACGGCCTCCAAGGGGGTCAAAGGGCCGAAGCAACAGTTCTCGGCCACCTGGTCCTGGCGAGTCTTCTGGCATCTGGGTAGATAGTGATGCCCAGACTGGCCTGACATTTGAAGACTCATGTGTACGTCGCCGGGAAATGCCGGGAAAAAGATGGTCAACGTCGGCATCAGGGGCTACGATGGGGCACATTGTGTTGAACACAGGCCGAACACAGCCACTAGTATATTCCTCTTCGATGTCCACGCTTGTCAGAGCGAGGGGTCATAAAGAAACTGTAGGCTGGTCTATGCAGGTCAGAGCCCCCGAAAAGCACCCCTGCACTGACTGTGGACTCACATGAACCTCCAAAGCTGCTATCCCCCAGTCCTCCTTCACCAAGAATGCGCTCGCCCGGGCGTTGGGCCCCGTCATCTCCTCCTTCGTCGCCCCGCAAGTCACCGTCGAGCGGGCCGCCACGCTGGCCTAGCATGGCCGAGTTGGGGATGTAAAGAAACCGGAAGAGGACCCCTAGTTCAACAAGAAGAATTGCGGATCTTTCTGACAGTCACTATGTTTGGAAGACCTTGGAAGACCTCCCCTGACTTGTAAACCATTGTAAACCTGTCCTCACCCTGCTGCAAGGAAAAAGAGCCAGTTCCTTGAAGTTCATTCTTCTCTACCGCTGAATGTGTGAGTCAGCTAGATAATCCCATCCTTATATACACAAACACCACCAGCATACTGATCATACTGCTTCGTGCCCATCGCAGAACCCGCGCCTGGCGTGTGGACGTCGTCTCACGAACCTTCAAGGTCCTCAAAATCTCTGCGAAACGCTCCTGGCAGCGTCGAGAGGTGCACCGCGGCTCGGGGCCGCGACTGTGAGGTTTCGTCAGGTGCAAAATGCCACCGTCTCGGGCCATCATCTGACTCAAAAATATCGATTGCATACAGTAGGTCGACCCTTTCCTTGAGGGGGTCTGACACTCTGCTGGGACTTGCCTCTTAGGTATCTAATATAAGTTGTATTATGTGGTATTCACCTTGATTGACAATCCCCTGAACTCATACATCCAGGAACAAATCGCTGCGCAACTCATTCCCTTGCCGACGTGCGCATCTTGACACCCCTGTTCCATGGGTGATTTCCTGTTCCTTCATGTTCCAATCGTTGGATGAACACTCCATGGTCCATCCAGAATGGAAACAGCTCCATCCACTCATCCGCTCCATGTTTTGACGGTGAAAACGTGGATCGACCCCTCACCACGACCCGGCCGCGGACGCGGCGACACCGGCCGCGACGCCTCCGAGACCAGGCTGGGCGAGACGTGAGCGTCCAGCCCCAAGCGGCCCGCAGCGTGGCAGTGCAGCTGGCAGCCGTAGCACAGCGCCTTGCTGGGCGTCAACTGCTTCACTTTGGGCTTGAAGTGGCCTGTGGGAGCCCGTGGAAGGCAGGTCTGGTGCTCGAGAGCTAGAACTGGGCCAGTTGGTGAGGTGCGGGCCCCTCGCCCATGGTAGAACCCGTCAAAATCTCTCCACCGTTCATCGTAAGTACCTAGTTCTGAACAATTTTACCTGTCTCTGGTACTTTTTGTAGGGAAGGAGGACAGCTGAATTCCAAGTGTAGTTCACCGTACACCCAGTGTCCATCTGTTCCGGCGCCCCGTTTCACCCGGCCGCCCGCCAGACACGCCTTCTTGGGCTTTGAGAAACTCCATGGCCTCACACAAAACGGTGGCACCTTCCCTCAGCAGCAATGGCCCTGAAGGCAAGCGCACCACGGAGCGCTGTGCATCAAAGCGCTTCAGCCACGTCTCAAGGACCCTGAGTGGGTGTGGAGGTCCGGTGCGTGAACTGGCAAACAAAAGCGGTGGGAAAGCATTGGGCCTTTTTTGTGTCGCGCGTAGCTTTGGTGAATCTGCTTGCAAACAAACAAGCACGCTCAATGAAGGTGGAAAGTGGCTTTGCCCTGGGGCGTTGACTCATGGAAAGGTTCAAGTAGAGATGGTCACCGAGAACTCGTTCTTAAGATCTAAGGATTTGGGGGGTATGGCCAGAAACGGAGGAGATCACCGGTGCTCTTGGTCTGTTCTTGTCACCAGGGTGGGTATGGTGAGTGATCCTAGCTTCTGGACAGCAACTTGGCCATTCATCATGTATATACATAGAAGTGAAGAGTGAGTTAAAGGACCGGATAACCCCACATATGAGTCTTTACGAGTCTTAAGTTTCTAAAGCACAAAGCAGTCAGAGTCTCAATAGCCTCTACAACACGGCCTTGTCAGGAAGTGATATCAGCTTCCGACAACAGAGGGGTGGGAGAGAAGGTGTAAGAGAGTGATATGCACGACGGATGTACGAGGTATTGTGCACACAGGTGTGCGCAGCCACAACTAGCCAACAACACCAGCGGTTGTCGCACGTCCGCAATATGGGGCATAATGTACTAAAGTTGTACTACCAAGTCGCCAGTTCTCATCTTCCAGCTCCCCAGCCACTCCGCGTACTACAGTTGTACTACAAAGTCGCCAGTGCTCATCTTCCAGCTCCCCAGATACTCCGCGTACTCAAGTTGTACTACCAAGTCGCCACTTCTCATCTTCCCACTCCCCAGCTACTCCGCGCACTAAAGTTGTACTACCAAGTCGCCAGTTCTCATCTTCCAGCTCCCCAGCTACTCCGCGTACTAAAGTTGTACTACAAAGTCGCCAGTTCTCAGCTTCCAGCTTCTCAGCTTCCAGCTCCCCAGCTACTCCGCGTACTACAGTTGCACTACAAAGTCGTCAGTTCTCATCTTCCAGCTCTCCAGCTAGTCCGCGTACTAAAGTTGCACTACAAAGTCACCAGTTCTCATCTTCCAACTCGCCAGATACTCCGCGTACTAAAGTTGTACTACAAAGTCGCCAGTTCTCATCTTCCCACTCCCCAGCTACTCCGCGTACTAACGTTGTACTACCAAGTCGCCAGTTCTCATCTTCCAGCTCCCCGGCTACTCCGCGTACTAAAGTTGTACTACAAAGTCGCCAGTTCTCAGCTTCCAGCTCCACAGATTGCTCCGCGTACTAAAGTTGTACTAGAAACTCGCCAGTTCTCAGCTTCCAGCTCCACAGCTACTCCGCGTACTAAAGTTGTACTACAAAAACAACAGTTCTCATCTTCCAACTCGCCAGATACTCCGCGTACTAAAGTTGTACTAGAAAGTCGCCAGTTCTCATCTTCCCACTCCCCAGCCACTCCGCGTACTAAAGTTGTACTACAAAGTCGCCAGTTCTCAGCTTCCAGCTCCACGGAATGCTCCGCGTACTAAAGTTGTACTACAAAGTCGCCAGTTCTCAGCTTCCAGCTCCCCAGCTACTCCGCGTACTACAGTTGTACTACAAAGTCGCCAGTTCTCATCTTCCAGCTCCCCAGCTAGTCCGCGTACTAAAGACCACCACCAGACCCTCTAACGGAGCGAGATCTATTGCAGTTTGCAATAAGACAGCGCCGCAGCCGACCACAGCCGACAACAGCC